GTTTTAAATTCGAATTTGTTATTGCGTATTGGTTCGATTATAGAACGATTGTAAACGTTTCAGAAAATTGATCAAATTGAAAATAGTTCGTTTGATTTTCGGCAATTCTCTTCAGCGGTAGGTGTTATATAACAATTACTATGGTTATTGAAATATTGGATGTAAATGGGGTTTGCTTGCAAAACCTCCGCTGACGAAGTCGCGGGTAACAGCTAGTTGTATTATAAAATTGTTAACTTATAATTTTTATCAAAGTGCTGATTAATATATAAAGTTTTGTTTTCTAATTTGAGTATAAATATTTCATAAAATATATTTTTAAACTTTAACCCATAATTTAGTTTCTTTGTCTACATAATTTGATATCTTAATAAAAAAAAAATAATATGGAAAAACACTTAAGTAAAAGGATTAACATTTTGAAATGTTAAATGTATTATTTATACTGTATAACAAAATAATACTTGAGCAAAAAAAAATATTAACTTAGAATATGATTTACAATTAATATTTATAAATACAGTAAGACCCTGCTTAACGCTGCCTTGCTTAACACTGATTCAATATAACACGGTCTGCTTGACACCTAAAAACGTTCAAAATTTACGCTGATTCAAAATAACGTGGCATTTCATTGATTTGTTTATAATATGATTCTTCCAAAACACGAGCCAATCAGCAAAAGGTGGCAATTCATTGTAGCACTGTACTTCCCTTAAATCCATGTTTCTTTTGTGCAATTTTGGAAAAAATATAACATCACGGATGCCATAGGAAATAGTGACTTGGCTTGGCAAGACTTAACTGATAAATGCATGAAAGGAGTGTGGAAGAAGTTATGGCTGAAGGTATTCAAGAATTCTCATCGAGAAGAGCTTATTGTTGTATCGTTAGATTGACAAAATTGTCAACTTAATCGATACAGGAGATGTAGATGAGCAGGATATTGGGGAGTTACTTTAGGTTTCTGGTAAGAGCCTTACCAATGATGACTTCAAGAACTGGCAGAACAAGGAATTCATGTAGAACTGGAAAATAGAGATTCTGAAAACGGAGAATCCAAAGAACTTGCTACAGGTTTCTTTAGTAAAAGTTTGGTAACAATAACTGAAATCATTGATAAAATTGTAGTGAATGATCTAGATTTTGAAAGGAGTGCAAATTGCTTTTGCACTCCTTTCAAAATCTTTCAAAATGAGGCGTTTTGGTTGTGATCTTCTGCTACCGACATTTGCTTAAGGAGAGAAAAAGCGACAAATGAAACTTTACGACTTTATTGCAAAAAAGATTTTCAGAACAGTCAGTACCTTTGTTACAAAAAATGAACTAATTAATATATTATTATACATTTCTGTGTGCATTTGTCTGTATTATTTAACATATATTATTATACAAATTAATATAAAAATAACTTAAAATTAAAGTAAATTTTTTTTTAATTTTTGGTTGCGTGTTTCCCTATTTACTTTATGTTAAAATGGTCTTGTTTAATGCTGTTTCACTTAGCGCTTTGTCGTCTAGGAATGCATCCGCCACGTTAAGCGGGGTCTTACTGTAATTTTTTTATTACAGTATAAATGTAACCAACATCTGATAATTTTTAAAAATTTTAGTATTTTCTGTTATTGTAAAATTTAAAGTTTTCCAATGGAAAATACAGGTGAAAATTAAATTTGTTTAAAAATAAGAAACAAATTATTACATATTTTATCATAAAAATGCAATTTTGAGATCTAAAACTAGTATTGACTTCACATTTATATCATTGGGAAACATATGAAAAAATAAATATTTTTATCCAAAATGTATTTACTGGGCACTAAAAAGAGTGCAAATTTTTATAAGAACAATTTAACAAACAACATTTACTATTGATATCAAGAAAGTTATCTAAAATATTCTGAATTTATTAATTACTAATAGTACTGACATAGTAATATATTTATTGCAGTCTAAAGTCTTGAATCATTTGTTAAAAATCAATTATCATCAATAAGATGATATATTAACAAATTGTAAATATAGTAAATGAAATGCAAGTTAGGAATTGTTGTATTCACAAGCATTTTACAATTAAAATTATATATGATGTAGATGTATATGCATAATATTAAATACAGTTGAAATCGTTTATGTAATAATATATGGTATACATCAGTGTTTCTCAACGGGGCAATATCGCTCCCATGTGGGCGTTTTCCCATGTTGAGGGGTGATTAGTAACAATTTATATTTTGGGGGCGAAAAACAATTTTCTGGCGATATAGTAAAACATTATATTAAGAATAATTAGATATTTTATTCGTTATATTATACAATAATTAAACAAATAACATTATACTAGTCACTAGTCTATTCAATGCAGTATGAATTTGGCATTAGCTTGGCCCTGGGCATTGGAATTTTAAAGTGAAGGGGGCAACGAT